AAATATTGTAAAATGAGTAATACACGAACTGAAGAACAACTACATTTAATATCGTGACGGTTCAAAAAAAGCGACGAGGTAAAGAACCGTAAAGAAACCCTCGAAGGAGCTTATATACCGCTCACCTAAAAAACTAATTACATATTTAATTTAACATAAAAAAAGTTTATAACTTATTCCTCAGAACTCGGACTTCCATCTGTGGTTGCATTTATGTAATGCTCTGATTTGAATTTGTACCCTGACTCTTGAGCTCGACGTCTTGCCAAGAGCCAATCTTGGTTGCAAACAAGTGTTTCAAGAGATTCGGCGTTAAGACAACTTCGAAAGTCGGTTAGAATGTTGCCGCCAACACTGAATTCTCGTTCCACAGCTACGGTTGATACCGAGACGAACAACACTTGTCTTGCTAGCTTTCCAAGACATGGGAACATGTGTTCGTTCCGCTTCCACCATCCGAGGACGTCAAACTCCACGTCGTCCTCGTCGTAATCGCATGGCACTCCTTGGTACGTAGCATGTTCGTTCTGCGAGCTTACTCTTGTACCACTTGAACTCGTTGAAGGCTGAGCATGCTTCCCTTTCTTTGCAAGAAGCCCACCGACTATTCCTTTAAAACCTTTTTTTGATTTGGGGGGCGGAGGAGGTGTTGTTTCTTCTGTTACAGTACCGTATAACCGTTGATATTCCTTAAACAAATCCTCAAAAGGAGTTATAGCATTATCTCTTTCATTTTTCCATTCTATTAAATGGCTGTAGTAATAACTATTTTCATCTAAAAAACAAGTGTAGTAGAATTCAATTAGAATTTTAAAATTTTCAATCTTAAAGCGTGGATCACAAATAATACCTATTTTATAAATATCGGGAATGTACAAATAATAAGCACACTATTTATCTCTCATAGGAGAGACATAAGGGTACAAATCTAGATCAACCAAACTCTCACGAAAACATGTTGCGATTGTAAAGAATATATTTAAAATATAAATTATATATTTTTTGATATTAAAGAAAATAAAATATTAAATTTCGAAAATTTAAATTAATTTCGAAATTTTATATATTAAAATATAATATATTTAAAAAAAATATATAAAAGAGATAATAAGATTGAGATTTGAGAGATTGAGAGATTGAGAGATGGATTGAGTGATTTTTTTTAAAATGGAGGTATTTATAGAATGGTTCATCCCCTCTCCTACCCCCTCCCTTCGGCCCTCCCCCTCCCTCCCCTCCCCCCAATTCCTCAAACGGCTTTTTAGCCATTGAGGCAGGCCCCCCCACTGACTTGTCTCTATTTTTTGGCAGGTATGGCAGCCCTTGGCACTAGTCGGTTGGCACTAGTTGGCAGGTGTCCGTTGGAGGAAGCAAAAGAAAAAAAACTTATATCGGTACCGGAACCGGACCGGTACCGCCGGTGCCGGTACCGAAAATTGGGTACCGGAACCGGTACCGAAGTGGGCGGTACCGGTACCGGTTCTCGGAACCGGTGACACGTGAGCGACGGTGGTGACGGTGGCGGGTATCGGCGGTACCGTTGCTGGTCACGGTACCGTGTCCACCCCTATCCCCAACACGTATCCCTGGGCACTTGAGACAAAGCTCTTGATTCAACCCACTTCCCTTTTCAATCTCTCCAGAAGCAATGCCTTCTTTAATTCTATCCATATAACCATCTTGAATCATATCTCAGCGTTTACATGAAGCCCCAACAACATTTAACACTGTAGCAATCATAGAAAAAAAATCTTGAATGTCAAGATTTATTTTAGCTACAGCTACCAAAGCTAATTGAAGGTAATGAGCAAAACAATGAACATAATAAGTTGATTGATTTTCATTCAAAATCAAAGATTTCAGGCCTTTAAACTCACCCCGCATGTTACTAGCACCATCACAACCTTGGCCTCTCAATCTTGACAAGCTTAATCCTTACTCAGCAAATAATTTATCAAGTGCATCTTTAAGAGCTACAACAGAAGTTTCTTTCACATGAAAAATCCCTATAAACCGTTCTTGGACTAGACCCTTTTTATCTACACATTGCAACATCGTAGCCATTTGCTCTTTATTTGATATGTCACTAGATTTATCAATTTAGAGACTAAAAAAATCCCCATCAATGTCCTTTATGATTTCATTCATGATTTCTTTAGCAAAGCATTGAACAATATCTTTTTGAATACTTGGAGAAATCATTTGATGGTTCCTTGGAGCATTTTGGAGTATAACCTTACCCACAGTCTCATTTTGTTCACCGGTATATGCTAATAATTCTAGAAAATTTCCCCGGATACTTGATTCTTCATTTTCATCATGACCACGAAATGGTAGTTTTAGTCGTAACAAGAATCTACAAGCCATAATCGAAGCATTCAAACAGATTCGATATTCATTTTTCACATTCACTGATTGTGTGTGAAGTGCAACTTCAATTGATTGACTTTGTTTTATCAAATTCTCACATCTTCTAAGTTCTTCATTGTGATAACTAGCTATTGACCTTACCAACATGAGATGCCAATCTCTCACTTTTGTTCCATGATGAAAAACCATGTGTTACTAATGCATCACTTCCATATTTATTTTCAAGATAATCTCTACATAAAAAACAACACAAACAATATGCTTTGTCCTCTTTAATGCTATACTCTAACCATTTAAATTAACCCTAATCTAAAACAATTTACACATTACACATGAACCTAACGTCTTATTGTCTTAATATAAACAATTAATTAAAATATTTATGCGATAAAACATACTTTGCTATTAATTTAAAATATAATTTAGGAAATAATATTTAGTAAATAGTAATTAAGAAATTAAATACAGATAATTTGTCAAATTGATAATAGGATTGTGGACTGACCGATCTACTTGTGATGATTAAGAACGTATGAAGATGGAAGAGAAGGAGAGATGAAGCAGGAAGGTTCCGGACGGCGACAGTTCGGCGTTCGTTCTCCTCTTCCAAACAGCAGATTAGCTGATTTGGAATCTGGACTTTTGCACTTCCTTAGGCTGTCTGTACTCCGTAGAGATGCAAGTGGCCAAGTGGGTGTTCAATTTAATTGTGAAAAGGCTAAATTGAAAAAATAAAGGAACTTGAAAGCATGGGCTGGATTATGGGCTATTGGGGTCATTCCACACTCTAGATGGGGGCAGTGGCCCAAATGTACAGAAAAATTTTAATTTTTTTTGTTTAACATTAAAAGTTAGTTGGGGGCATATGCCCCCCATTCCATCAAAGCAAATCCGCCACTGGTGAAAGATATACGCACAAGAGCCCGGAACCTGTCTGGCAATGCGAGATAGGGGCTCCAACCCGCCTCAAAGAAGTTCTTTGAGGTTTCTAGAGTGGCTCGAAGCAGTGCTTGGATGTCCATGACTTAAGTCTATTTGAGAAAGAACCTTAGCTATATAGGTTGAGTGTAGTAAGAGTCTACAAGTGCTCATATAATTTTTAATATGTGTGCATAATTTTTAACACATTTTTATTTGATAAATATGACTTTAAGTAATTGGTTATAACTACATTATAATTAATCTCTTTTATTTTCTTTCATCATTCACAAGATGTAAAAATAATGATGGAGATCGGATCCACGCACTTAATTGGATAAGTGGGTTTGATAAGCCCAGGCCTAGAAGCTCGTGAGCCTGTCAAAATCTTCAAGATTTATTGAGAAGAAGAAAATTTTGGTAATTCATCGGATAGTAAGAGTCTATATGTTCTGGACTAAATTTAAAGAACAATTAATCATGTCATTAAATAATAATATTTGCCGACTCATCAAATATTGGGTGATTATATGTTGATGCATGCTAATCTATGGATTAGTTTTAGTGTTAGATATATTCTTACCAGCTTTCAGCTGAGCGCGTAGTCTTTGTTCTCTTTGATTGCACGTAGACAGAGATCAAAGATTGGATGAACAGCCTGAATGACATTGATGCGTGATGCTAGTGGATGGTCGAAACTCTTATGTTATTATTTTAAATGTTCTGTTTATTTATTATTCAAAGCATTAGGGTGTTTTCGATGTTGGATTTAAGGCTTTAGCAAATGTTTGATTGTTGCACTCCGATTGATTAATAATTTATTTGTAACTAATATGAAAATATTTTTTAAATATTGTGCATGTGAATACCAAATTAGTAGCAACCCGATTTGCTAACTTGTTAGTTCGTGTTAGCGGGTTGAGATGTTACATTTTAGTATCAGAGTGTGTAGTTTTGAAACGGTCTTCGGAGTTTGAACCAATGTTTCCAAATGCATTTTAAGAAAAACTAGGGCATCTACAACTTCGTGACTTCAGGAGGTAATTTTGATCTTTTATTATGTGCTTATGTGACAATATTATTTTTAATAGTTCTATGATTCATTATTAATTGAGATATATAAAAAAGAAGATTCGTGCATTGAAAAAAAATTATAAATCTTTTGAGCAAGATCTTGAGACCAAAGAATAGTTGTTTCAAAAATTATGTGGTCCAATCTCGATTTGGACTAATACATTTTGTGTTGGTTGATGGGTGTATTTCACCCACGACCAGTCAAAGGTCAGGACCGGATAGTTGACCGGTCAAAGAAGTCAAACTTTGAAGAGAGATGTGAATGGACCACCGAGTGGCCAAAAAGTGGACCGGTACACTTCGGAAAGTATACCGGTCAGCTTATTCCATCAGCAGGAACCGATTCCGAAGACAATTAATCCAAGCCTTTAGAAATCAACCGGTACAACTTTTAGAGATCGAGGAGTGTCGGCAGGAGGAGTCCAAAAGGACTTGGACTTTAGTGGTTGGAATTGCAGAGATCCTGGAAGAATATTTCCATGCCAGAACGTGACAAAGAGGGAAATCCCCTTCGCAAGATGACAAGGCGGCTCAGGGACAGTCATCTCGCACCACGTCGGCAACGTGCCCCCACGTGGGCGCACGTGGACCTGTCCCCCAGCTTAGTATATATACCCCTTGTAAACCTCAGAATGGGGATCCGAATTCATTCTCTCTAAACTCCCTTGTAAAAGCACCCGTGCATTCTCCGTTATAATATAAACTGGGCTACGGGTGTTCCACCTAAAGTCCTACCGGTCAATCTACGTGTTTTTTACTTTTCTTACTTTGCCAAATCAAGCAAACTATTCTAGACCCGGTCTAGTATAGTTTGACCGGTCAAGTAATTTACACCATCATTTTTGGCGCCGACCGTGGGACCGTTAAGGTTTCTTCTCCTAAACACAAACCTACCCACCAAAACACCACTCAAAATGTCTTCCAGCCAACAAATCAACGCTACTTCCGCTCAGGTGCAGGCCACCAACGAGGGAGCCAGCATCCCTGTGGTTGCTACCATACCGGTCATTTCAGCCCCGGTGTTGCCTCTGGGTCTGAGCTCTATCCCGACGGCCAGCGTGATCAGTCCCTTCGTGACCCCCGTCCCTTCCGCTGGACCGAGGGCAACGTTCCCACCAAGCATGACTCAGTTCATGAATGACCCAGCCAACCTACAAGCCATCCAGGGCTTCGGCCAGGTCATGGCCATGTGCCAGCAGAACGGGGGGATGCCTTTCCTCCCTGGTATGTTCCCATTCGCCCTTCCAGGCGCGGGGACCATGCCTTTACAAGCTCCGATGGCGGTGACGTCGTTCCAGACGCTGATGCCGCAACCATCACCTTTCCAGCCCCAGCTGGTCAGCACCATGGCCCCTGTCAACTTGGCCGGTGCACTTAACGCTGCAGGGCCGTCGCGTCCCCCGCAAGCTACGGATCCGCAGATCACTCCTGATGGTCACTGCGTCTCGATTGAGAACGATGACGGCGAGTGGGACATCCCGAGGGCCCACAAGAAGAAGAAAGGAAAAAACATTCGGCCGGCGACCTCCCGAAACTCCGCCTTCGAAAGGCTGGGGGATAGGGAGGAAGGCCAGAGGAAGTCAGCCAAGCAGAGGCTGGGGCAAAGTGTTGCCAATGTCAGCGCATTCGCTCGGCTAGGCGAGGTGCGAGAGGCCGAGCCTGCCCGCACCCGGCGCTCCCGGTCTAACCGGCAGGAGCCAGCGAGGACGAGGGCCTCCCACCAGGAAGGGGAGGAAGAAAGCCAGCCCAGGTTACCGGTGGCGAACCGGTTAACCATCCCAAACGACCGCGTCCAGCAGATGGAGGCAAAGCTAGAAAGGCTGGAAAAGAAGGTCGGAGAGAAGAATGACCGGGACAAACTCCTGGCAGGGTCCCCGTTCACCACAAGGGTCCATCTGACACCTTTCCCGCGAAAGGTCAAGATCGACGCCCCCAGATTCACCGAGAAGGAAGATCCAGAAATCCACCTGGACTCCTTCAACCAGAGTGCGACCATGAACGGTTGCACCGATGAAGAAAAGTGCCTACTTTTCTTCCAGACCTTGCGGAACCGAGCCACTGAATGGTTCAATAAGCTTCGTCCGGGAAGCATTGACTCGTTCAGTGATTTAGCCTCAAAATTCAAGGCCAAGTTCCAGGAGAATTGTACTAAGAGGAAGAAGTTCACCTATCTTAGTACAGCCGGGCAGAGGGAGTCTGAGAACCTCACTCAGTTCCTTACCCGGTAGAAGGAAGAGGTAGACAATGTGGAAGAGATGGATGACAAGACCGTCCTCTCCCTCCTCTTGAATGGCTTGCGTGCTGGGGAACTATACAAGGAGTTCTGCCGGAAACCCCCAGCCACGTACCAAGAGGCCTACCATACTGCATGGGAGTTTGCTGAAGCTGAAACCCAGCTCCGGGCAAAGAGAGAAGCTGAGCAAGAAGGAAGAAGCACCGGGACCTAGCCGGCCGAGGCACCACTATGACCCCGTCATCCGAGTGGTCAATATAGAAGAATGCCAAGAAGTCCGGAAAGCACCGGTCATTCCTCCAGAAAACCCTACCGGTCAAGTAGGGCGACAGTGGTCGGGCACCTATTGTTCGTACCACAGGTCATATTCTCATAACACCTCCGAATGTAAGAGTGTCAAGGGAGTAATCCGGCAGATGATCGACAGTGGAGAGCTGGGCAAGGATTACTTGCAGAAAGCCCAAGAGAAGAGTCATCAGTGGGTTAGGCCAGCTGCCCCAGGGAACGACCGGGACAACGACCGACGGAGGAATAACCGGCCAAGGGAGCGGCAACCTGCCCCCGAAAAGGAACACATCGGCATGATCTTCGGCGGACCCAAGGGTGGAGATTCAGCCGCGCAGCGGAAGAACTGGGTCCGGAGCATTTACGTTGGAGAGGTAAGTGTTGAACCGCCCAGGCGTAAGCATACTAGGAGGGAGCCTATCGTCTTTACTGACCGGGATCTCCCTCCTACCGGTGAAGATCACAATGATCCATTGGTCATCACCATGGACATTAATGGGGTAGATGTCGCCCGGGTACTTGTTGACACCGGCAGCAGTGTCAACATCTTATACCTGGAAACCTTCCAAAAACTCAGGTTGTGTCGAACACAACTTGAACCCCTCAAAACCCCTCTCTCAGGCTTCACGGGGGACACCGTTGAAGCTGAAGGATCCATAGTTCTACCGGTCGAACTAGGGTCAGGTGAAAAGACCGTGTGGAAGAAGATGCGGTTCATAGTTGTGGACATCAAATGCGTCCACAACGCAATTCTAGGAAGGCCAGGCATCAATAAAGTCGGGGCGGTGATTTCCATGCCTCATCTATGCATGAAGTTCCACACTCCAGGTGGTGTGGGTGAGGTGAAGGGCGACCAGAGGAACGCCCGGGAATGCTATGCCCGGGCAGTCAAGAAAATGACCAGGGGGGTCAATGTCATCTCCCAAGAGATCACAAAGGGAGAGACCCGGGAGAAACTGGA